AAGGGGAAAAAGAAATATGAAGATAAGAAAGGGTGAAAAGCAGAAAACAATAAATGTGCTCACGCGTACGCGTAGGTTTGCACTACTATAGTCAGACATTCAAACACGTCCGCAGGCTTCAAGAAACGCAAAATCGCCTTCACGGTCATCTGGGCAGACAAGCGATAGAGGGACGGTGTTCGACTAGCAACTACACGCAGAGCTGTCGATCGTCCAGTCGTCGCGACGCGTCAGGAAGTGTTTCTTTTCTGATGTCTTAGCTAAGAAGACACAAATGCCGCTATAGGTGATGCAGACGTAAAACTAATAACTATTATAATATAACAAATGTCGAGGTTTACGTGCAAAAGCCATGATTTGATATTAAAATATGCCATGCTCTTTAATATCGGATGCACATGGGCTTTTAACATTTCGCCTCCTGCCCCGCCGCGGTGGTCTAGTGGCCAAGGTACTAGGCTGCTGACCCGCAGGCCGTGGGATCGAATCCCGGCTGCAGCGGCTGCATTTCAGATGGAGGCGGAAATGTTGTAGGCCCTTTTGCTCAGATTTGGGGGCACGTTAAAGAACCCCAGGTGGTTGAAATTTCTGGAGCCCTCCGCTACGGCGTCTCTCATAATCATATGGTGGTTTTGGGACGTTAAACCCCGCATATCGATCAATCAATCAATCAATCAATCAATCAACATTTCGCCTGCTCCGAAATGCGACCGCCGCGGCCACAATCGAACCATGCAACTGGCAGATCCGAGCACCGCAAAGACCACTGATACTTACCGATCCCAATATTTCAAATGTTTGACTATGTAGTTCAGCGTACGTGGCATATATAGCATTTACGTGACAGATGACGTCTCTAGAAACCGCGCCTCAGGTCGTTGATCATAAGTCGCTCCAGCCACGTGCTGACGTCAAACTAATGTGCTGGGCGTCAATTGTGTAGTGACGATACCTTTTCGAAAAATTAGCAAATGCTACTGTTCAAGAAGCGTCAGTGTAGATGCTATGGAAGTACCTCCGATGTACGAAGAAATGGAAAAGGAATGGCTTCTTCAAGAACACTGCGATGAAATGGTGAGTTAATGTTGCGTGAAAAACTGCCGAGTTTTGTTTAGAGTTATTCTTAATACCATTAATTCTGTACCGCCTAATGCGTGAGAATTTGGCAGGAAGCGCGGAAACGTTGATGTACCGCCGAGTTTTGCCGAGCCGGTCAATCAATGACGCCTCCGCTAATCTATCTCCCATACTTCTGTATCGAAGGCGCTTGTGTGTGTTCACTGTGTTTTCGCTTTACAATATCCGAAAATTGGCTTAATTCTCTTTCAGCTTTTGTTTTCACCTGTCCTTTTTCTTCGTTTCCGCTGAATGGATCTTTACGGGGCACTTTCCACGTAGATATCCTGTACGCACGTTGACTGAAGTTTAAACGTACTCTATTTGTCTGTAAATTCTATTCTTGAACACTATTATCAAATTCAATGGTTCGATCCTGCAGCATTTGTCTCATTTTGATGGAGGACAAACGCAAAATGCCTGTTTTTATTGACCGATGACAGTGTACGTTTAAGAACACCACATGGTCGAAATTTCCGGAAACTCACCAGCGTTCCACGTAATCATATCGCGAGTTTGATTCCACAAATCGTTATCAAAGCTGATATGCATAAAAGAAGCTTTTGAGAATAAAAAACTGCCAGGGATGTCAATACCCTCGACAATCCCCAACTACGCTACACTCGTGAAATTGTTCGTAACTACAAATCCGCTGGTCTTAATATACCCAATTGTAAGATTAGCGTGCATGTCGGAAGAATTTTGAGTCCTTCTTACACAGAACAGCGTGAGACTGTGCTGTGTAGTCTCGAGCTGAATAATCCATCTCTTTCTTACTATTCTTCTTTTCTCTCTATCTCTTTCCTTCCTACTATTCCTTGCCCCGCCGCGGTGGTCTAGTGGCTAAGGTACTCGGCTGCTGATCCGCAGGTCGCGGGATCGAATCCCGGCTGCGGCGGCTGCATTTACGATGGGGGCGGAAATGTTGTAGGCCCGTGTGCTCAGATTTGGGCGCACGTTAAAGAACCCCAGGTGGTCAAATTTCCGGAGCCCTCCACTACGGCGTCTCTCATAATCATATGGTGGTTTTTGGGACGTTAAACCCCACATATCAATCGATTTCCATTATTCCACCTTTCCCCCACCCCTGTAGTTTAGCGTAGCCAACCGAGCCAAGCTTGGTTAACCTCTTTGCCTTTCCTCTCTTTCTCTCTCTTTCCATACATTAGAATTGCGTAGTGTCTGTTGCCACTTTATTCCCACTTCATACAATCCACTTCGATTCACACCAACTTCGCAATTTAATCAGTATCTGCCAAGAGGAGTTGTCTGAATATAATATATAGTGCACCCGCAGAAAGCTGCCAACTTGCTGCGGGAGTGAAAAAAAAAATAGAATACCAGGACGACATTTCGCGTGTCCAAGGACTTCGTCGAGCAACTTAAGGACAAGTACAGTTCGTTATGTTGATCGACAAAATACACGACTATTCCGAAGAAAGACGCAGCCTGTTTCCGCGCGTTGGCAGGTGGTCCAGCCGTAATGCAATTCATTCACGCCCGCCTCGAGCAGCGGCTTAAGACTCTTCGTAATTAGCTGCCGCAGGTGTAGAGTTCCTCGTCGGTCCGGGCAACTGCTATTTTCTGCCCATCCACAATGAAAAAATAAGAGTGTCTTAGTGACTCGTCCAGTCGGGTTTTAAGGGCTGCTGTCAGATTAAAACTAGGATCGGCGCGCGCGTCCTGAAGCCTAATCCGCGATCTTTTCGGGGCTCGCGAAGCGTTGGAATCCGAGTGGAAGGTCCACGAGCTCCAGCGCACGTCCGCGCTAGAAGAAAAGAAATAACGTATTGCTAATAACGTGATAACATAACGTCGGACTTGGCTATGCATTCCAGCACGCCCAGGTCGTCTAAGAGGGCCTGCATGCTTTACAGACAAAGGATGACATCCTCGTTAAATGGAAACCTAACTAATATAGTGTCATCACAGCTAACTACAGTTTCGTAACACTTAACAGAGGCCATTGTTACCTAGAATGTAGGTTGATAGGCCGGAAAAGACGGATGGTTGAAAGACAGCTGGTGACGCAAAATTTAGCTACCCATGACATCAATGATTTGGAACACGTATTTTCTTTATGGCTAGTTACTTGCTTATATACTGTACGCAAATTGAAACTACGTAGCACTCGCATAACGTGCAATGGTTCAGCCCAACATTTCATTTCCAAAGCTCTCTTTGCGCGACAAGTCTCGAAATATTCGAGATAAGGGAATTTCTGGTCGACGTCGCACGTTCAGTCAAAGGGCGGAGCAGGTTCACTGGTAAAGCGTGGGAAATGAAGCTAGCGTGTACGTACGGAACCTACTCAAGCACAAAGGGTCATACTCTGAATGCATTCGCGGAGATCTGTGCATTAGGCTTCACCGAACACTGACGTTGGCGGGCGCCGATTTCCATTACACTGTTATCGACAATCGCAATCACAACAATTTTTTAAATTTATACACGAAAAGCACTCATGGAAAAGAGCCGGCTATCCCATCAAGATGATATTAATAATGAAGAAACACACAAAACTAGAAAAACTACAAATAAGACAATAGGAAAATAAATAAATGACAAGAAGCACAATGTAAATATATAATGCGATGTATAAAGAAAGAGCAGATTCTAAGGGCATAGTGTGGTCACACTGCGGATAGAGTCCATACAGGTAGTTGTTTTACTATGTCCTTAAATATATCGTCACAAAGAAATGTTTATTAATAACTCAGTGGTATGAAACGGAGTAATAATGACAACTATAAGCAGATAGTTAAACTTGTGCTCTCAAAAATTACGAGTGGCGCTCACTGCGCGTCCTCGATAATCAATTTGTGGCCACGGTCCACGCACTTTGCTGTTTGTAAGTGCCCGTTAGTCGAGGTTGTATGCATATTCATGAACAGGTGGTACTAATGAAGAGTAGACTTAACAGGTTATGCTAAATGAGTCGCGAAGAACTCTTGAAGTGACTCTGGCAAAAGGGGGCGTTCATAGCGCCATCTTCTGCGGCTCGTTAAGGAGCTTGACTCAGCACGAAAGGACGCAGCTTCTAGAGACACTTCATCTGTTAACAAATATATAACTCCATAGGCTGCTCAACACTCAGCTTGGATTTACATCGCCACTAGGGACGTAGGCACGATTATTTTTTTTCAGGGGGGAGGGGGGTTGCACCTTCTTGCAATGGTCATTTTTCGCTTGCTCTGTATCCCATAGCGAAAACACATTCCGGAGGGGGGGGGGGGGGGGGGCACGGGCCCCGGTGTGTCGCTCCCTGGTTACGCCACTGATCGCCAACTGTAAACAGTGCGATGTTTTTTTTTTTTTTTATTGATATATGGGGTTTCACGTCCCAAAACCACCATATGATTATGAGAGACGCCGTAGCGGAGGGCTCCGGAAATTTCGACCACCTGGGTTTCTTTAACGTGCACCCAAATCTGAGCACACGGGCCTACAACATTTCCGCCTCCATAACAGTGGGATGTTCGCATCAGAGTTTGTACTCCGCGCATCGCCTTCCTCTCTAATCTATTCAGCTCACACACTGCACCGCGAACAGATTTTGATAAAAGCACGGCCGGACTAGAGGAGCGGCACTGCGCCGCTCCTCTAGTCCGCCCGTGGATGAAGCTGCGTCTTTCAAGAGCGGGCTCGAGATGGCGGAGCGACGTCGCCGGCGCGCGCTGTGACGTCACAGTCGCGCGAGCGACCGATCGCCCCGGCGGCGGCGGCTCGTGCGCGACGCGTCGAAATCATCAGCGCAAACGAAAACGCATCTCGAGCGCGCGACCGGGCCGTAGTCACTCCGACGGCGCTGTCATCGTCAGCGGCGGCTGCGTCGGCTACTGCTGCTGCTATACCCGCAGGAATGCACTTCGTTGGACGCAACAGGAGGAAGGAAAGCGGCTCGCGCGAAAATCTAGATCTCATCGATCGAGGAAAAAAGAGGGGCGTCCGTTGGAACAACCGCAATGCCTGTGAGTGTGTTTGTACTATATATCTGCTGCTGCTGCTCACCTCGGCGTGCCCTCGCGTATTTCTTTTTCTTTATTTCGTTCTCGACTTAGCGTCACAGTGACTCGCCTCTTCCCCTCGACGCTCATAGGCGCCTGCCTTCTCTCCTTCGTCCGGCTTTCTCCTGCTACCACGTTGGAGTCATCATACGTCGGCGACGTGATGTATCCCGGTGAAACCCGGGAAGATTTAGCACGCACGACCGGTACAGCATCTGCTCCCCTGCGAAGGAAACCCGGCCAGCTGCTTGTCACAGGAACGCACGTTCTGAACGAAACATCGCGTCGTTATGCAGGCTCCGTCGCCCTGGAAACCGAGAACTTCTCGCATCGTAATTTCCTCCTTTTTTTTTTTTTCGCTTTTGAAAGGTGTCGCCGAGGCACCGTCAGCGTACCTCGAGCTGCAGCGTCTGTACAAGTTTGCGTCTCTTCTTTAGCTGTTTTTTTTTTTGTCGTCCTATATGAAGGACTCATCATTAATCACGGCAAAGCGCTGTTTGTTCGACATAACGCGTTCTTTTTTATCTTGTTTCCTTCTCTTCGAACAAAGAAACGTAGTCTAATAACACTCACATGTATGCAGTGCCCACTGCAGAATTGCGGGTGATTGACGAAGCGTACATGCACGTTTTGCCCATCAAAAGCTATAGCGTCGTAGCTCATGCACTCCATGCTATGTAGAGCTTCGTGCTATGAATATGTCGTTCACTAAAGCAACACTCTTTAACGCGCGAAGAGACTGTTTATCATCGATAGAACTGACGGGAGGCCAATACGAACGAACCACTGGTCACACTATCTTCCACGCAAAGTCAGATCAATATCATTAGAATTATAAGCTGTATGATCATGCTTTGCTCGGTACAGTCAATGCTAGTTGGTTATCCTGGCAATTACTAATTACTCAATTTCCACTCTATCTGCAGCTTGTCCCTAAAATTGGCTAAAACTCAGTGATTTCGATAAACCTCTACAAATATACGTGAAAGTATTTTCTCCTTTTTTTTCGAAACACTTTGTGTCTCCGACGCTTGTATATTGTTCCTTGATTAAAACTAAGTTTAATTGAATTGTTCAAGTGTTGCCTGTCGAGTCTTTCCACCGACAACAGCGTAGCTGCTTCATTCTCTATGTGATTGATATGTGGGGTTTAACGTCCCAAAACCACTATTTGATTATGAGAGACGCCGTAGTGGAGGGCTCCGGAAATTTAGACCACCTGGGGTTCTTTAACGTGCACCCAAATCTTAGCACACGGGCCTACAACATTTCCGCCTCCATCGGAAATGCAGCCGCCGCAGCCGGGATTCGAACCCGCGCCCTGCGGGTCAGCAGCCGAGTACCTTAGCCACTAGACCACCGCGGCGGGGCTTCATTCTCTATGTGGATGAATGTGTGTACTTCTCTGTGCAATGAATTCTGGCGTCAACAATGGCAAGCCTGTTTTGTCCGGAAAAAGAATCGGCAGCCACACGCAAGCATATTCGAAACCGACTCAAGCATTAAGCTATAGGCACACTGTGTGCGCGTCGCGTATGAATTAGTCCAAAGTGCCTGTTTTTTGACCGAGGCGGAATCTTTCTTTCCACTTTCATTACGGCAACCTTGATAGTGTGCGAGTGAGAGAGCTGCTTACTGAGGCTGCTTGTTTAATATGCGCGCTGCATACGACTACAGAGCGATGTCACTGCAATGCATTTCTTTCTCTCTTTCTCTTTCTCACTCTTTATTTCTTTCCTTCTTTCCTTCTTTCTTTCTTCCCTTCTTTCTTTCTTTGGTCAGCAGAGGCACATCGCATACGAACATGGACCGACTGCGATTTCTTCACGGCAAACGAGCTTATAGTCTACGCGGCACGGTTGTGAATGAACTGCTTCATATTCCAAGGGTTAGGCGCAAGCAGGGCAGGATCCACACTATGAGACACTATACTGGAGACCCACTAGATCATTGTCATTCCCTTTTTCCACTTCTTCCTTCGTGTTTGTTGTCTTCATTCTTTCAAGTGGATTCTTTTGAGATATGGACAATCTTTCGCTTCAAGTTTCTCGTTTTCTTTTTTAAATTGGTCTATGTCATACTGACGAAAGAATAAAACAAACAAACAAACAAGAATGAAGGCTGGAACGCGCTGCTATTCGCGACAACTGCCTTCAAATGCAACGTATAACAAATCCCGCTCGTCCCAATGGCGTCTCGCGATAGCATTGAGCCACAATAGCTATCGACATTAATCACAGTACACGTGGCACGTTTACAATGCATTGTTTGGCCTTACAGTATACTCAGTGTGACGGGCAGTGCAGTTGAGCGTAACTCTCGAACTATGGCTATAGCCATCCCCGGTTATTTGTGCATCCATCTACTTCGTCCATACTTCGTGTGCAAGGGTCATGCTTCTAGTGTTTCCTTTTTGCTTTGTTTTGTTTATCAGAAAAGGCGGGAAAATAAAATAGGCGAGCTGCTTTCACAACCCGCCTTTTTGTTTTATAGTTAGCTTCAGACACACATGATGATTGATATGTAAGGTTTTACGTCCCAAAACCACCATGTGATTAAGAGACGCCGTAGTGGAGGGCTCCGGTTCAGACCCACATAAGCAACGCGATAAATCGAACGGAAATGAAAAAAAAAAACAAAAGCTAAGAAATGCCAACCTTTCCGATCATTTGCATTCGTGCAACTCACCGCTGGCTATGCGCGCCTGTGAGCGTGTGTGCGTGTGCTCACGTGCCTATGTGTGATAGCAAGAGAGAGAGAGAGAGCTAATAGGAACTAGACGACAATGAGGTTGATCATTGACGAACATTGTTAACTATCCGGCACTGAGTGAACGAAAACAAAGCATGCACGAAACGTATACGGGGAAAAGGGAGCACCAACTTAAATCGCGTACTCCTACACTGCGAGTATATTTCTACAGTGCTCGAGCATGAAGATGTTATAGAAGACACGCGCCATCACAAGTAAATCTGATTGAGGAAGACGCTAAGCTTTGTCTTTTTCTTTTACATTCCGAATTCGCTTGCAATCGTATACCTTAGATTTTATCTTTTCACTAGGACAGACTGTTAGGCTAGCTGGCCCCGCATTTTAGCATTGTGAGGTAAGCGCGAATGAAGACGGACACAAAGAGAAGAAGAAATGGTAGAGAGGGATAGGCAGAGAGATTAGCCAGTTCAGAAAATCAGGTTTGCTACCCTACAGGCGGGAACGGGAAGGGGGAGATTGAGTAAGAGAGAGAGAAGAAAAAGTGCGAAGAGAAAGAAAGACGGACAGAAAGACGAGGCAGACAATGACAGGCACTTGCGTTGTACTGTCCTTGTTTTCCTCGTCTTATCTTTGTGTCAGCTCTTTGTTTATCATTTCGCTTTTGAACCATCACATCCGCAAGTTTTGCATACCATGCGCATTGATTGATTGATTGATTTGTGGGGTTTAACGTCCCAAATCCACTATTTGATTGTGAGAGACGCCGTAGTGGAGGGCTCCGGAAATTTTGACCACCTGGGGTTCTTTAACGTGCACCCAAATCTGAGCACACGGGCCTACAACGTTTCCGTCTCCATCGGAAATGCAGCCGCCACAGCCGGGATTTGATCCCGCGACCTGCGGGTCAGCAGCCGAGTACCTTAGCCACTAGACCACCGTGGCGGGGCGACCATGCGCATGTGAACGTCGACCTAGCTTGCGTGTCATCAGTTGATTCTTCCGGTATAAGTTCGCGCGTTGCTGTTGTGATATATACAAACTAGTACGAAGAACCGACCAACACTGGACATCAACGCCTGTTGTGAAGTCGAACGGCAGCTTTTCTTTTTTTTTTTGGGGGGGGGGGCAATGAAAGAAGGAAGTGGCTTTAATGGGCGCCTTTACGACATAATGGAAGTGGGCACACAAAAAAAAGCAAACTAAACGACGCCGCAACTACAGCAAGCAGCGTATACAATGCCATTAAGCGCCACGGGCATTGCAAGGTAACGTCGACAATCAACAAATATGACGCGCAATTTTCCGGGAGGGGAAGCACGCACTGACGTCCTCGCAGTGCGATGAACGAGGCGACGCGTCCGGAATAATTGCGCGATAATTTGATTACAGAAACCGGGCGCGGAAGTTGGGTGTTCCGTGTATAACCATGCACGCGGAGGCGCGAAATTCGGAGCCGCAAGTCGCGCGCTCGCAACGAAGTTATGTCGATGTTGTTATGCAGTTATTCTTAGCGCGACCGCTTACATCCTCGGTCTCCTGCAAACGCCCGTGGTGTTAGGTCTGCATGCAGCATCGTAACGAAACAACTAAGCGTGTTTATCTGCCTGCGGCATGTAGTTTATTTCCCCGCTACTTTGCTTTTACTCTGCTGTCAAAAAAAGACTTTGTTTCTCTACATTACTGCCAGATGGCGTCTATAACCAACGCCTCCTAGAAAAAACTATGCCTGGAACGTCGCTCTCTTTCCAATCGGGAACTTTTTGCCAGCCCAAAATCTCGGAGGCCATGCCTCCTGCCGCATGTTGGGACTGTCCGCCGCGTGGAACCGCTCGCCTCCGTACCGCTCTGTCACGTGACATCACAGCTGCTCGGAGGCAACTGTGAGAGCATTGCTGCGTTCGCAAGGAGTGGCCGCCAAAGGCGTTTGCCTCCGTTCCGGAGGGGGAGGGTAAAATCCGAGGGTAGGGCAGCGCGTTCGCGGCTCAGGTTCCAGGCATAATTTTTCTAGGAGGCATTGCTATAACTGACGCAGCGCTTCCATACGTCGTCTTTCGACGTTCTTTGCAGTGAAGCATGCAGATACGGGGCCATTTTTTTATGTGTGAATACACTTTATAAGCGACCCCAAACCATCCACCGCCGTCGGCGGCGTCCGCAGTCTTCTCTCTATCTTTAAAAGAAAGAGGACTTGGCGGGCCGCAGCGCGACGCTCTACCGAATAAGGGCCAAACCTCATAAACGCGAAAATGCAC